GACTCATGGACATGGACAGTGGATTAGTGGCTACCAGAGGGACGGGGGAAGAGGGAGGTAGAGTTAAGGGGGTCTAATATTTGGTGATAGAAGGAAATTTAACTTTGGGTGGTGAACACAAAATGCAATATACATGACATACTGTATTATTGTACACTTGAAACCTATTTGATTTTATTAACCAATGTCACCCTAATAATATTTTTAAATGTCATAATTCCTGTACAGCAGTTACCATGGTACCTGACACATAGAAGGTTCAAAATAAACATTTACTCTTTCTACTATTAATACTGAATGAACAACATACTGTGTTGGTTAAAAACCTCAGGCTTTGGATTCAGACAAATGTCAGTTTGTATCTTGAGTCTGCCACTTACTGGTTAATGGGCAAGTTGCTAAACATCTCTGAGTCTCAGTTTTCTCATCTTTAAAATGGAAACGATATTACTACTTTATAGTGATTTAGTGAGAAATGAAAGGCCATGAGCAGAGTGTCTGTCACACGAGTATTTAACATTAGCCACCAGGATCAGGTATTACTATTGTTGTTATTACTATTACAATATCCATTTATTACTCCTATTTTTGGAGAAAATTATCATCTCCTTTGTGAGAGACCACAGTTTTTAGTGTCCTTGCCTCCATTTCTCCACAGCCTCCTATTCTTTACAACAAATATTTGAGTGCACTTTTTTAGGTGCTGGGGATACTGTAGACTTGGAGGAGGAAATATTCTCTTCTCTAAGGCTGATGCTTCCATCTGTACCTTGGATCGTCATCCTTCCTAATTACCAAGAGATTTTTCTTACAACCTTTCTGCCCAGGAAGTGCAGAGAGTCCCAAACAAGATGAACCCAGAGAGGCCTACACCAAGACATATCATAATTAAAATGCCAAAGGTTAAAGAAAGAATCTTAAAAGCAGCAGGAGAAAAGTAGTTACCTACAAGGGAACTCCCATAAGACTATCAGCCAATTTCTCAACAGAAACTTTGCATGTCAGAAGGTCCTGGCACAAAATACTCAAAGTGATGAAAAGCAAGGACCTACAACCAAGATTACTCTACCCAGAAAAGTTATAATTTAGAATCAAAGGACAGATAAAGAACTTTCCAGATAAGAAAAAGCTTAAGGAGTTCATCACGAACAAGCCAGTATTACAGGAAATGTTAGGGAGACTTCTTTAAGAAAAAGAAGAAAAATATAAAAAATATGAATAATAAAGTGGTAATAACCACATATCTACATTTTAAGTATCAACAATTACTTAAAATGAAAAAGGATTAAATACTCCAATCAAAAGGTAGGGTGACTAAGGGTGGCTCTATAGTGTAGTGGTTAGCACATCTGCTTTGCACACAGAAGGTCCTGGGTTTGCGCCCCAGGTGGAACCACAGACCATACCCCGGGTGTGCCAGGCCCCCCGAGTGCACCGGGGGTGCCAGGCCCAGGGTGCTTGCCATGAGCCTGTGGAAGGAGATGTGCCCCGCCTTCAGAGATCCAGTCCTTAATGGGAAACGGCAACATCCATGGGTCAGGGGTGGAAGTAGGAGGGAGGGAATTAAAGAGGGGAAAAAAAGGGTAACTAAATGGATAGGAAAGCAAAACCCTTACACATGCTGCCTATAAGAAACTCACTTCATATAAAAAGACACAACACAGACTGAAAGTAAAGGAATAGGAAAAAATGTTTAATGAAAATGTAAATAAAAAAAAATGGGGTGGCAATACTTATACCAGACAAAATAGACTTTAAAACAAAGGCTATAATAAGAGACAAAGAAGGACCCAGTAATCCCACTTCTGGGTATTTATTTGAAGAAAATCAAAATGCTTCTTTGAAGAGACATGTGCATCCATATGTTACCTGCTGCATTATTTACAGTAGCCAAGATATGGAGGTAACCTGGGTGTGCAGCAATGAATGAATGAAGAAAATATATACAATATATACAATATATATACATACATATAATATATATGTACATATGTACAATAGAATACTATTCGGCTATAAAAATAAGTAAATATATAAGTAAAAGAATCTAAAAAACAAAATAAGCGAACAAATAAAATAGAAATAAACTCATCTCATCGATACAGAGAACATTTTCATGGTTGCCAGATGGCAGGGGGCTTGGGAGGATGAATGGAAAGGGAAAAGTGATTAAGAAGTACAAATTGGTAATTACAAAATAGTCATGGGGATATAAAACACAGCACAGAGAAAATAGTTAATAATATTGTAATAACTATGTATGGCATCAGATGGGTATTAGATTTATCAGGGTGATCACAAATCACTATGTTGTACACCTGAAACTAATATAATATTGTATGCCAACTATAATTGAAAAGTAAAAAAATCGTCTGATCTTGGAAGCTAAGCAGGCTCGGGCCTGGTTAGTACTTGGATGGGAGACCACCTAGGAATACCAGGTGCTATAGGCATTAAAAAAAAAAGAAAAGCAAAAAATAAAAATAAAAATAAAAAACAATAAAATAAAAATAAATATTACGGATATAGTTGATATTCCCTGTATGTGCCTCTCCAGTCTCAGTCTACTCCCTCTTTTGTATTTGGTGATGATCATGCCCTTTCATGTTTTACATACTTTTACTATTATATCTCTGTAGCCGTAAGCAACATATAACATTTTCAGACTTTATATAAATGGTACGCCGTACATATTTTGTCATTTTCTCTTTATGCTCAACATTATATTTTTGAGATTTAACTCTATTAATGCATATAGTTTGATATTCATTTTAATTTCAAAATAGTATTCAACTTTATAAATACTATGATTTATTTATCCACTTACCAGCTAATGGACATTAAATTGGCTTCCATTTTTTCTTTGAGGTTGCAAATAATGCTGCAGTGAACATTCTTTTACATGTCTCCTTGTGCACCAAGTGTAGAATTTTGCTCGGGTCTATAGTTAGAATTGGAATTTCTGGGTTAAAGGGTATTACATGTACAATGTTATTATATGATGTCAAATTCCTCTTCATAGCAGTTCTACCAACTTACACTCCTCACAGCAACCAGAGTTCTATCTGTTCTACATCCTCAACAATACTTGATGTTGTCTGAATTTTAATTTTTGCAAAACCAATGGTTGTGAAATGGTATCTCATAGTTTTAATTTTCAATTTCCCTGAATAGTAATTAAGTGAAGCATCCTTTCATGTATTTATTGATCATTCAGGTTTCCTTGACTATGAGTTGCTTATTCATATATTTTGTCAAGTTTTCTACTAGTTTTCTTTCTTTTTTTCTCACTGATTTGTAGGGGTTGTCATGCATGCTGGATACCAATTCATTCATTCATTTACTCGATATTTTTCTAGCATCTGCTTTGTTCCAGGAATGGTTTTAAGTACTAGTAACAATGAACAAAACAGACAAAAACCCCTGCCCTCATGGAACTTACATTCTAGTGGAAGAAGGTAAACAATAAATAAAATTAATAAGTAAAATAGAATAACTGATAGTGATAAGTCCTCTGGAGAAAAATAAACAGGGATAGGGAGCATGTGTGTATGGCAGTGGGAAAGGAGATTGTTGAACTGCTATTTTAAATAAAGTTGTACAGGAAAGCCTCACTGAGAAAGTGACATTTGAGGAAAGCTCTGAAGGAGGTGAGAGTGCAGGTAGGGTAAACAGCAAGTGCAAAGGCCCCGAGGCAAGAGTGTTCCTGTCAAGTCCTAAGAATAGCAAGGAGCAGTGTGGCTAAGCAGAGTGAGTTGGATAAAGTGACGGAAGAAGAAGTCAGAAGGGTGATCACAGCTAGAAGTGTAGAACTTGACGGGTTATCCTTTGTCAGTTATATGTGTTGAAAAGATCTTCTCCCAGTCTGTGGCTTGCCTTTTAACTTGTGTATGTTGTCTTGAAGTACATACATTTTGAAATGTAATGTAGTTAAATGTGTCCATCACTTCTCTTATTGTTGTTCTCCTATTTTCTTCTGAAAGTTGTAAAGATTTGCTTTTCACATTTAGATTTTAATTTACCTAGAATTGATTTTTTTCCCTCTATGGTGTGAGGTAGGGATCAAATTTTATAATTTTCCATGTGGATCATCAATAGGACCAGCACCATTTAGCAGGTAACCCACTTTTCCCCACTAGTTTGAAATGTCACATATGAGGCATATCGACTTCCCATATATATGTAGATCTGTTTAGGGGCTCTGTATTCGGTTCCATTAGTCTGTCTACCTCCATACCACACGGTCTTAATTACTATAGGTTTAAAACCAGTCTCGATAAATAGTCTATTGTAGATTGTTGAACAAATGAATAACGCAATTGAAGTATTCCTCTGGGAAGAATATTCTTTAACTAACTGTCAACAGGGTATAATAGTCAAGGGCTTACAATAAAGTGATGGTGGTGCAAATAGAAGATAAGGAATCTAAAAGTACTTCCAAAGAAAATATTAACAAGGTTTGTTGACAGATAAGATACAGAGGAATTAAGAGAGACGAAGAAAGCATATGGCTTTGAAGTTTCAAGCCTGGGTGGCTATGTGAAATGATTATGTGTTAGTTTTGTCATTCAGTGTTGTGTTCAAAATGGGGTATATTAGGTAAGGGGTCGGGGCTAGGGATGTATATTTAGTCGTTGACTGCATAGAGGTGACCCGGAGGGAGCGCAAAGGTCTGAACTTTGGGGATTTTTCCGATTTAGGGAGTGAAAGGAAGAAGAAGGGTAGAGATAGGATAACCAGCACAAGTGCATTACAACCGTAATAAGGATATTTTTGAATGGTTGATCCTATTGGCCCAACACCTTTGAGATCCCTCATAGGTATGATTTGCTTGTTTCCGTGGCAATCTTCAAAGTCCCCAGAACAATTCTGGTGTCACATGCAGCACTTAAAACCTATTTCTTGCTGGACGTGGTAGAGACGCCTCCGGTCCGTCGGGTCTCTCGCTGCAGTTCCGGAGGTTGGCCGCAGGGGGCGGACTCTGCGGCGGCCTGGAAAACCGGCGGGGGCGCGAGGCGCCGCTCTCTCTCGGGTCAGGCTCTCAGCTCCCGGCTTTCGGCTCCCGGCTCCCAGCGCGGAGCCTTTCTTAAAACTACAGGCAGCCGACGCGCGTGGGTGGGAGGACGCGGGAGGCACTGTCGTCGGATCCGCCCGCAGGCCGCAGCACCACTGAACCCGGAGGCCGCCCGGATGGAGCTGCCGCTCCCTGTCGGAGCCCAGCCCCTTGCCGTATCCGCCCGAGAGAAGGGGGAGGGGAGGCCGCGCAGGGCGGAGGTTGGGGTCGGGTGAACCGCGAAACGCGGCGGATGCGGGTGGGGGTGGTGCGGTCTGGCCCGGAGGCCGACCCAAGCTGGGGAGGGGGCTGGCGCAGGAGACGATGCCTGGGGCACCGGGGAGGGCAGGCAGAGGGGCGGCAGCCTCACGCAGACCCTTGACTAGCGCCTGCATACTGTGGAGGGTATGGAGATGAAGGGTCCTCTCCGGGAGCCCTGCGCCCTGACCCTAGCCCAGAGGAACGGGCAATATGAGTAAGTAACCACCTGATTCCCGCAGAGGAGAGGACCCTGCCATTACCTCCCAACCTCAAACCGCAGTGAGCCACCACCCCCTCCCACTGAGGCCGCGCGGGCAACAGGTTCAGGGCCAGGTGTGAAGTGCCAGTTAACTTCCAAACCCCTGGATTGCTCCTGGCAATGTGGTTCAATGGACAGACTCAGTGGGCCGGGAAGCAGGAAGCCTCGGTTCTTATTTCCTGCCCCTTTAACTGACATGTGTTGTGTAACCTTGGGCAAGTCAATAAAGCTTTCTGGGCCTTAGTGTCCTCATCAGTTAAATAAAAACATTAACTGCTTACCTTATAGCCTTTGGAGTTGTAACTGGGAGAATAATAAATGTTAAAGTGATTTGCAGAAAATAAAAATGCTATAGAATCAATTCATTGTTTACTTTGAAAGAAGTGCCTTTTCTTAACCCAATTCAACTGGTTCCTCCAGGCTCCTCACTCCCTTAATCCACTTGCTAGAAGGTATATTCATTAATTCAGGAATGGTTTAGTGTAGGCCAGTAACTGCCTCATTTATTGACTTTACTGTTAATGTAATGAAATGTGCAGAAATATAAACGACATTTGGCATTGTATCAATGTGTGTTGATACATTGATAGCTTTCACTCTGCCTTGCACATGAAAGCTCAGGTAATACTGTTGATCGAAAGATTATTTTGATAAGCTATCATTATAGCTGCTGATCTTACTCCTTTGCCACTAATGCTTCTTCTTAAAAGTATCTGTGGTGACCATTACATATTATCTGTGTGCCCAAGCCACCTTGGTTGTTCGCAGGTTTCTTGACATTAGAATTTAAAAATTAGTGCTCACTTAAATCTTGCTATCACCCAACATTGGATTCTGCCTAAAAGCAATTTTTCTCAGACCTCACTTTTAGATTATCAAGAGTTGGTGTCTATGCTAATTATACAGAAGAAATTCCCACTGGCCTATCCTGCCCTTTTCTGAGACTTGGTGCTACTCTAACTGGACATCAACTTGTTCTATGCAGTAGCTCTTCCCTAGGTCCTGCTTGGTCATTTCTATTGATGTGGGAAACTCATTTTTCCCAGATTTCATCAAATTCTGGTAGACCAATTTCATAAAAGTCAAAAAACATGAATTGGAAAGTGGAACACCACTGCCACTTCCAAAGGGTAGAATAGGGTGAAGAGATGTGACCCTTCTGTAAAAACAAAATTATGAAGATTAAGTAAAATAGCTACATTGTTGAGATGATCACAGCTCGGGATCTGGTCCCTTGTTTCCATAGGTTTGGAACTCTATTCAGCTAATTAGGGAATGAGCAGCCGGCCTTGAGATAAATGGATGTCTCATTCTACCTAAGCTCTTGTATTAGAACTTTTGAATTTGCAGCAGTAGCTCCTGACTGTGTCTTTCCCACATAGAAATCAAATTCTTGTGTTCTATATCTGTATAAGTTATGGGGATATAGCAAAAACTAACTGGCTTCATCTGTGCCAGGTACTCTTCTTCTAAGCACTTTTTGTGAATTAGTTCATTTAACGGTCATATGAGCAGTACTGTGAAAAAGTAGTAGTTTCATCATCATCCCTTTTTTCTGGATATAGAAATTGAAGTACAGAGAGGTTAAGTTACTTGTTCACAGTTGGAATGTAGTATAGCCATGTAGCATATCTCAGAATTACATCGAGAAGTTTCTTTAGAAAGAGACACCTATAATCCTCAAATTCTTATCTCTTCAGTGCCATCTCTGAATTAGGTGTCCGGAACTTTTTTACTTTTGGCCTTTTTATCCTGGAATTGAAGCCTATTTTAATCTTTAGTTTGTAGTTACCACTATCAACTACAGTAGAAATTTACGTGAGAGAATAACAACACTACAGTTAAAAATAAGGTTTTTGGTTTTTTTGGAAAAAAACACTAGCATTCATGTTTTTCAGAGCAAATGGATTATGATGCAACCTGTTTCATCTTTAACCTTCTTTGAACAACTCAAAGTATTTCCATGTCACTCTGTTCTGTTTGACACCTACCAAAGTCTGATTTCCATTGTTTTGCCATGTACCTATTTTTTCATCTTTCTGTTTTAAAGGAATGATTACAGTTAGGTAGAATTTTTATGATTATTATTAGCCATACTCGCTATAATTTATTTAGTGACTTACATATATAATAGATACAAAATAAATATTTGTGGAATTGATTTAAATTCCCAGTTTGTTTTTTGATGGGCTGGGTTTTTTGGGGGGGACTTTCTTTTTACTGAGATAATACAATTGGCATTAGTTTCAGGTGTACAATATAATGATTCGATATTTGTATATGTTGTGAAATGATCACCGCATATAGTTACAATTTTTTCTTGTGATGAGAACTTTTAAGATTTGCTCTCAGCAACTTTCAAATATACAATATGGTATTATTAATTCTAGAGTTCATGATATTAATAACTCTATTATTAACTCTATGCTATACATTACATCCCCATGACTGATTTATTTTATAACTGGATTTTTGTACCTTTTGATCATCTTCACCTATTTTGCCAATGACTTACTCCCCTGCCTCTGAGGACTACCAATCTGTTCTCTGTACCAATGAGCTTGGTTTTTTATTTGTTGAAATCATAACGGTATTTGTCTTTCTCAGTATGATTTAGTTCACTTAGTATAATGCCCTCAAGGTCCATCCTTGTTTGTTTTGTGATAGTTCTTAACAATACAATCCAGTTGAAGCTTTACTGCTTATGTTTAACATCATTTCTAGTTACTTTGATGTTATATTGGTTTGTGTTTATTTTCCTCAAAGTAAGCTCTTCCTTCTTGACCCTAGCTTTGTCAGCCTTTATCTAGTTTCTGGACTTCCATCTGAGTTTATAGGACTCTCAACTCATGAACTTTGCAGGTTGAAAAGGTCTTGTATTCCTCTAGTCACCTTAAAATACAAACCCCTGTAATTTAGGCAAGCAGGATCAGAACAGAAAGACAGCATTCTTTCCCTTAGTTTATTTCCCTTAGTCTTGTCTAAGCAATTTCTTTCCCCAGGTTATTGCCTTAAAAGTTAACACATTTGAAAAAATTTTTTTTCAAAAAGCTAAAACAAGCCCCCAAAAGACAAAAAAGAAGTCAAACCCTTCACAACAATGCCATTTTTATTTTATTTTATTTTATTTTATTTTTTTAAAAGACTGTATCTTTACTGATAGTATTCCATTTGATAATTTGAAGAAAATTAAAGTAATGTGTGTTAATTCCATTGAGTATTCTTAGCAATGCATTTTAGATGTTCATGAATGAAATACTGTACCTATAATATTATTCAACCCTCTTTTTTACATAAAGGGTGTTTTTATTTTAGAAAAATTATTTTCCCTTTTGATTATCTTTTCTTTGACTCATTTATTTTTTATTATTTTTTTATTTATTTTTTATAGTGACACTGGTTAACAAAATCCAATAAATTTCAGCTGTATACTTTAACAGTAAGGCATATGTGTATTTCCACTGTGTGTTCACCTCCCATAGTTAGATTTCTTTCTGTCACCACATATTTGACCCCCTTTACCCCATCTACCTCTAGTCTATAGTCTATAGTCCATGTCCATGAGTCTCTGTTTGTTTATCCTGTTCATTTGTTGCTTTTAGGTTTATATCCCACATATAAATGATTTCATGTGCTTTTCGACTTTTTCTGTCTGGCTTATTTCACTTAGCATGATTATCTCGAGGTCCAGCCATGTTGTTGCAAATGGCAGTATTTCTACTCTGCTTATAGCCAAGTAATATTCCATTGTATATGGAATATTACCACAGCTTCTTTAGCCAATCCTCTATCATAAGACATTTCGGTTGCTTCCATGTCCTGGCCACTGCGAATAATGCTGCTATGAACATCCGTGTGCAAATATCTTTATGGATATGAGTTTTCAAGTCTTTGGGGTAAATACCCAGTGGAAGGATTGCTGGATCATATGATAGATCCATTCTTAGTTTTTTGAGGAAACTCCATACTGTTTTCCATACTGTACCAATTTGCAGTCTCGCCAGCAGTGTATGAGGGTTCCTTTTTCTCCACATCCTCTCCAGCATTTGTTATTGCTTGTCCTGTTGATTATAGCTATTCTAATAGGTGTGATATGGTATCTCATTGTGGTTTTGATTTGCATTTCCCTAATAGCTAGCGATGTTGAACATCTTTTCATATATTTATTGGTCATTTGTATGTCCTCTATGGAGAAGTGTCTGCTCAGGTCCTCTGCCCATGTTTTTGATTGGATCATTTGTTTTTTGTTGTTGTTATTAAGTTGTATGTGTTCTTTGTATATTATGGATATTAGGCCCTTATTGAAAGCATTGCTTGCAAATATATTTTATCATTTGGATGGTTGACTCTTTACCCTGTTGACTGTTTCTTTTGCTGAGCTTTTTAGTATGTTGTAGTCCCATTCACTTATTTTTGCTTTTACTTCCCTTGCCTTTGAGGTCAAATTTATAAAATTCTCTTTAAGTCCAAGGTCCTTGAGTTTCATTCCTATGTTT